AAATGTAAGATCTGATATTTCTGATCAAGAGGAAGATGAAGAAAGTGAAGGATGCCCAGTGTCTATTAGTAAGTTAAAGGCTCTGTACTATGTTCATGTATTAGTTCTTTGTAGATCACTTATTGAAACAGTTTGGTAGAATGTAACAAGTGTAGAATTAAGAGTCAGAGAACTCTGATTTTGAATTTCACTGTGACCCTGACTAAGTTACCTGGCCTTTCTGCAACACAGTTTTCTTGTGCTTACTGTTTTAAGGACTTCAAATATTGTATGTAAAGCACCTGTGCCATGCGGGAATACGACAGACAAATGGTAGCTAAGATTTAAGTGCTGAAATTTACTAAAAAATATGTATTAATCAACTTAGATTTGTCTAAAGCTGAAACTCAGGCTTTAACTAATTATGGAAGTGGAGAAGATGAGAATGAGGATGAAGAAATAGAAGAATTTGAAGAGGGCCCTGTGGATGTCCAGACTTCACTGCAAGCTAACACTGAAACTACAGAAGAAACTGAACATGACGATCAGGTATTTCCATTGTAGACCAATGTATACCTTCCACAAGTCTTATTTTAACTACTGAAAGCAGATCCTTCTGAAAAATGTCAAAATTTACATTCTTTCCCCGTTCTCATTTTCATGAATACAAATCTCATTAATATGCTTATTAGAATCTGAAACACTAGTTTATTTTTATGTTCATCAATGTTTAACTTTAAAAGCACTTTAATCTTTTATATTTTTCTTCTAGTCATACATCGAAATAGTATGTAACAAAAATAAAATTATTCCATTTCTTACCTCCACCTCATCCTGCCTCGTAGGCAACACTTTGTACAATTTCTTCTGCTGTTTACTTCTATATTTATGAATAATATGCACACATGTGTATATATGTCTTTGGATTAAATCCATATTTAACCACGTATTTAGAGTTAACCAAACTATGTAAATATTACTGACTGCTGAACCAAGTAAATATTGTTTATTGCCTAGCCTTATTTTTCTCGAGTTTAATAATTATCTCAATTTTTTATTTACTTCATTTTCCTTGAACATATACCCAAGTCTTTGCTATATCCTCTAATAGCTGTATAAACCTCCCAGTAGAATTTCCTACATGAACAAAATTTGTCATTTTATTTCCTTCCCTTTTTTCCTTCCTGATACATTCCCCCTTTCTGCTTCATTCTAGATTTGTCTATTCCTTAGACCTACTGAATAGCTATCAGCCTAGGAATCCCCTTATCATTTTTCTTTATCTCTGTTCCTGGAATCCACTTTTTATCTTTGTCTTTCTTGGTTTATTGCCTTACTTTAGTGGAGCACATCCCAGTAACTCGCTGAGAAAGAGTGCATAAAATATAAATATTTTGAGACTTTACGTGTTTGAGAAAATCTTCCATGTTGAAAATATTTTCCCTCAGGTCTTTGAAGTCACTTCATCTTTATCTAGTTTCTGGTGTTGCTGTTGAGAAGTCTGATGCCTTTCTTAGTTCTCATCCTTTGTGTACAGTGGTCCCCCCTTAGTCACAGTTTTGCTTTTCACAGTTTCATTTACCTGCAGTCAACTGCAGCCTGAAAATATTAAATGGAAAATTCCAGAAATAAAAAATTCATAAGTTTAAAGTTGTGTGCCATTTTGAAGAGCATGATGAAATTTCTGGCCGGCCTACTCTGTTCTGCCTAGGATATGAATGATCCCGTTGTCCAGCATGTTCACACTGTATATGCTACCTGCCTGTCAACCGCTTAATAGTTGTTGAGGTTAACAGATTGACTTTCACGGTATTACCGTGCTTGTGTTCAAGTGAGCCTTATTTGACTTAGTAATGGCCTCAAAGTGCAAAAGTAGTGATGCTGGCACATTGTTATAATTGTTCTATTTTTTTATTGTTAATCTCTTACTATGCCTAATTTATAAATTAAACTTTATCATAGATATGGAAAAACACAGTGTGCTCCCGTGGATAAGAGGGGACTATGATATGTCTTATTTTTCCTCCCTAATGTAGAAGTTTTTTCCTCTTGGAATTCTGAAATTTTACAGTGAGTCTGTAAAATTGTGTGTTGGAGTCTTTTTTCATTCACTGTAGTGGGTTACCAATGGTTTTTAAAATCTGTATTATGTCCTTTGGTTTGGTACATTTTCTTTTATTTTCTTTATTTCTTCCACACCATTTTTTCTTTTCTCTCCTGGAATTAATATTATCAGACATTATTAACCCTCATGTGTTGGTCTAATTTTCTCTTCTCTTCCTTTTATTGTCCTTATTCGCCTTATCTTTTTGTTTTACTCTCTCGGAGATTTTCTTGACCTTAGCAGTTGAATTATATGAAATTATTTTTATTTTAGCTGTCATATTTTTAATTTCTAAATACTTTTTTCTTTTTTTTTCCTGATTGTTCCATTTTTATAGTGTGCTGTTATTTTATGGAAGCAGTATCTTCTGTTATCTATCTAGAGGCTTTCTTCAAATATCTGCTTAACCTTGGTTGTTTGTAGTAAAGAATGATATACCAAAAAGTGGATTGGAGGTTTCTTGGGCTTCACTGCAGGGCATTTGGTGAGAGAGCCAGCATTTTCATAGAAATTGCCAAAATGTCAGTATCTATTTGTCTTCCCTTTGGGGTGATTTAGATTCTCCAAAGAAGGATCTTCTAGTCTCCTACCTGGTGTATATAAGCTTAGCTTCTGGTATTCTGGAATTAGATGTGGGAAAGGGGTGAGATCCCACCATCATACACACTTGCACTAAATTCTTCTGTTTTCAGTATGATACTTCATTTGTGCCTTCTGTACCCCACCCCTAGTCCCAGTTGGCCCCCAGGTCTGAGGCTCACTAGTTGAATTCTCTAAAATATTATTATAATCTCCCATTTTCTGTTGAAGTTGGAGCAGGGAACCCAGATGTCCACATTTTTCTTAAATAGTTTTAGACAACTTCCACCACTCCCTTTTCATCACCAGCGCATGCCCCACCACCATACCCTTTTCTCTCTTGATCTGGTACTTCCAGTTATGAGGTGAAACACAGTTTTTGTTCCATTCCTCTGCTGAAGGCATTTAACTTTGTTAATCTTCTCCTCCTCCTGCTTAGTTCCTTTCCCATTCACTTAATGTCTGCATATATATGTGTCTTGTAGTTTCATTTAAGATAGAGTCTGAAAAAAAATAATAAAATCTATTTTATTCCAGTTCTCTGTATTATTTTGAGGTTATTTAAGGAAAAAAAGGAAACTTTTTTCTTAGCCATCTTGAAATTGCAACCAAAGCCTCCTTCTTGAAACACTTTTAAAAGATATTTTAATTCTCTTGGGGCCAAGGATAGTAGCTTATGCCTGTAATCCTTTGGGAGGCCAAGGTGGGAGGATCACTTGAGGCCAGGAGTTCAAGACCTTCCTGGGCAACATAGTGAGACCTTGTCTCTAGCAAAAGAAAAAATTTCTCTTGTGTGAAAGTCTCTGGTTGGACAAAAGCCACACATGAATAACCATCTGTTTATAAAATGACCATATATTTTAGACCCTACTATTAAAAATCTTTTTCCTTCTAGGTTCTACAACATGACTTTGAAAAAACAGCAGAAAGCAAAAATGTCCCATCAGAACAAGAACTCACTAGTAAAGGTAAATTTAAATAAGTGTTCAATTTTAAGATTATTTAAAGTGCCCTTTATAAAGTACTTAAAAGCTAAAAAACTCTAAATTCTTAGCAAATGTAAGTTTGAAGGCACTTTGGACCTCATGTAATCCTTTGTAGAAAACATAAGGAGGCATTATTTCTGCAAACAGCAGTTAAAGAAAAGTCAACAAATATTTTCCTGCACAGAAAAATTCTGTAAGGAACACCTTTAGGTACAAATGTGGAGGATTTAAAAAAAAAAAAAAAAAAAAACCTATTTGTGGGTTTTATCTCTAAAAGTCATGATTCATTAGAAATTGGGTGGATTTTAGGAATCTCATTTTTGAAACATCCCCAGATGATTCTAATCAACTAAATTTGGGAATCATCGATAAGGAAAATTTGTAGTTTTCTTTTCTTTTTGGTCTTAAATGTCTTGATTACTCTCATTCATCCATATTGTAATAATAGAGGGCAAAATTTAACATCTGTTGCATTATACTAATACTAAGCATTTCTTTTGATGACAGATGACCAAGATAGCTCTCCTGTGAAACCGTGTTACCTCAATATCTTGGAAAATGAGCAACCTTTAAATAGCACTGCCCATAAGGACTCGCTTACTACTATCGATTCATCTAAACAGCCTAACCCTTTGCCATTACCTTTTACTGAAATTGAAACCTTAGTGCCTAGAGTCAAAGAAGTTAAGTCTGCTCAGGAAACTCCTGAAAGTTCTCTGGCTGGAAGTCCTGATACTGAATCTCCAGTGCTAGTAAATGACTATGTAAGTATCATTTACATTTCCAAATATTTCTGCTTTTCATTTCTGTGCATATTTCTTCATTTTCAGGTTAACATTTTCAGCATATTAACTAAACTCCATTTTGTGTTTAGATTTAGAACCTGTTGTAACATTTTTATTTTTTATTCACACTTTAAACTTGAGCAGAAGGGTGGTAGTGAATTGAGATCACCATCTCAAAACCTACAAGCTGTTCTACTTTTTATAGTTTTGAGAACCTAAGAGATGAGTTGTAGGTGGCAATTTTGAGAGAGTTCAAGGTCAGATCTGAAGTGATAATGATACATGAATCATCATTTTTCTTTTACACTACCCATTCTCAACTTCCTCACTAAATCTTTGATAAACCTAAAGGTTTGCATTTGGGGTGTGAAGTAAAACAGTTTGACAGCAGTAGAGTCCTTATCTCTACACAGTAAATGACAGAAAGATATGTTAAGAAATACGCACTTGTGGTGATATTAAATGAAAATTAACATGGAGACCAGGCTTAAAAAATTCCTGATCAACGAATACCAAAGGCCTTAAAAATAGCCTTAATCTGGCTTAAATTGCAAACATAAACAAAACTTAACTTGGATCATTTCTGATAAATGCTTATGTTAGACAGAACTAAACACTTAATCCCAGCCAATCTTAAGCAGCCAACTAACATGATTATGTGACTGGGAACTTCCAATAAGGTACCTAAAATAAGAAAATTTTATAATTTAAACAAATCAAATAATTTATTTTGCTTCCATATTTTCCCAATAAATACTTTCCTCTGATATTTTGTCATTGGAACATTAAGCTTGTTTTGGTCTGGTGTTCCCCAGTTCATAAATTACTTTTTACTCAATTAAAGTCTTTAAAATTTTATTGTGCCTCAGATTTTTCTTCAACGATAGGAAGAATGTAAGTTTAGTTTTACTCTGGACCTTTGTTTCAACTAAATCTTATAGCAAGTAGGTTATCTTTTTGGATTCTTGTGCTGTATATGTTTTACATAATTTACTTTCTCTTATCAGCAAAAATGAAAAGATTTATAACATAGTATTTGAACCAGGGTAAGTACTTTTAGGTCTAAGGACTATGCTTCATTTTTTAAAAATTTCAGTTTTTAAATATATTTACAGTTATGATTTCATAATTTCTCAAAAAGGGGGTTTATAATGTTTCAAAAATATTAATAGAAAGAAAAGCTCTTTTAACTGTTTTGTTTGCCAGTAAAATTATGCATTTAAAACTCAGAATTACCTGTTAGATTTATGTATGTATGTTTTTGAGACAGAGTCTCACTTCGTTGCCCAGGCTAGAGTGCAGTGGCATCATCATAGCTCACTGCAGCCTCAAACTCCTGTGCTTATGTGATCCTCCTGCCTTGAACTCCCAAAGTTCTAGGATTACAGTTATGAGCCATCACATGTGGCCAGATTTATTCTTATTATCATTTGATCAGGGTGTAGAGTTGCCGTAGAAGACATTCAATTGAAATTAATTAACTCGAAGTTAGATTATAGAGGTTCTTGAATTTGAATTTTAGGCAGGAACCCCTACTGAAGGCTTTTGTGCAAGAAAGTGAAATGGTCAAAATTATGATCTATGAAGATAAATCTAATGACTCTGGAAGATGTCAAGGAAGCTATGTTAGGAAGCTCTACTATTACATAAGTACGAAATATGAGCTGAATGAGAGTAGGATGGGTAAAAAATATTGTAAAAAAAAAGAAAAACCTAACATTTCTTCTCGGGTACTTTGTAGACTGATGATACTATTAAAAATGAGAAGGGAGAAGTAGGAGAAGAAAAGAATTCAAGTTTAAGAAAAACAGTTTTGTGAGATGTTCACAAAAGGAAGTTGCTAAATTCATATCTCAGATTTCTAATGGAGCCTCATCGAGTTGATATATTGAAATGTTTATAAATATTTACTTATATCTGCTAGATACAGCTCTGATGTAGTCTATAATTATTTTAGCCCTCAGTATAACTACTACTATTTCTTCCTGTAGCATGTATTAACTGGCTCTTTTTTTGTTAAAATGAGAACAAAAAAGCTTGACAGTGTACTCACAGCTGCGAAGTGTAGGCCTTCCTTTCAGCTCTGTATTTCTGAATTATTTATGGAGCTGAATACAGAAGAAAACCAAATATGGATAGAATTACTGATACATAGTTATATATATAAGAATCCACTTTATTTCTTGGTGTGGATGACTTCAGTTTAGATCCAGAGATACCGTGCGTGTTTTTCATTAAATATAATTTATCTTACAGGAAGCAGAATCTGGTAACATAAGTCAGAAGTCTGATGAAGAAGATTTTGTAAAACTTGAAGATTTACCACTTAAATTGACAATATATTCAGAGGTATTTGGTTCTCTTTAATTAAACTTATGTTTATATAACGTATATTGTTAAAGTGAAAAATGATTTGTATTTTTAATTTTCATTCCAAAGGCAGATCTAAGGAAGAAAATGGTAGAGGAAGAACAGAAAAACCATTTATCTGGTGAAATATGTGAAATGCAGACTGAAGAATTAGCTGGAAATTCTCAGACACTAAAAGAACCTGGTAAGAATTATCAATTTTAACCTTATATTGAAAAAATTCTTGAATCTTAATTCTACTATTTTGTTTTTTTTAAATGTGCTACTAGTACCTGGGAAATTTAAACCAAATATTGTAAAAAAAGCATAATTCTGTAAAACTTTTAGTTCAGCTATGTAATTTATAAAACAGCATTGTCAGATAATTTTTTTCTATTTTTAAACTCTTCAGTTTTAGCACAGTAATACGTGTGCATTATTAAAGAAAGGAACAAACAATGATAAATAGCAAAAACCTTTTTTAAATGATTTTTTAGTTTTTGGAGGAGACTAAATATTTTATGATTTTTCTTAATGTTTTAAATTCAGATAAAAATGTCTCTTACCTCTCTTGTGACAAGTATGTATTTAGTCCTACCTCTTCTCCTCCTCTCAGTGTTAGTATTATTTTTGGTTTTTCTTTTTTTTACCTTTGTTATTTTAGATTTATACATTTTTCTAGTTCCATCAACTTTGGTCATTACCCCTCTACTTCTCCTCCCTCTTTCTTTCCACTTTCTCTGTTCACTTGTACCTATATTCTTACATTATTAAGGTTATTAAAGTAATGCTTGTAAAGTATTTACAAGCATTTAGTTTGTAACTATAATATTTAGTTTTTGCAACTATAATAAATACTCTGCACTTTTTATGAGGATGATTCTTTATAAATATCATTCCTCATAGAGCCAAGCAGTAGTTCCATATTTTTTTCTTTCCGAGTGTGATAGCTCAACCCCTGGGCAGCTCTGAGAATGTTTCTTGTATCAAGGTCAAAGGATTTTCTTTTTGTTATTTTCCATCAAATCATGAATTGATTAAAAGCATATAGTATTTTCTTCTTTTGTTTTTCTTGGAAATAGGGTGAGGAGAAGGACAGACCATTCAGATATCAAACCTTCAGTTAATTGCCAGTTTTCAGCCCAGTTCTGCTGGTTAGAATATGGTGCCCATCTTAATGCAGCCTCTTGTAGTGTTTCTAGGCTGCAGCTTCGTCTGCTGTCTTTCAGTATACCCCCATCTGCTTTGAGCATTCTAGTAATGTGTTGATATCATCTGTTTTCTGTTTTCTCAGAACTACTCTTCTTTTGTTGATCTAGATTTATTCCTTTTTACAGTTTTTTTTTTTCTAGTGGAGTTTTTTACAGAGACAGGAAGTGTTTGCTCAGTCTGCTATCTTGAAATCAACACTCTCACTTGTTCTTTTTTACTGTGTGCTATCAGGGAATCGTTTTAGCAAGCTAAGTCAAGATTTCTTATAAAATAACTTTACATTAAAAGTAAAAGCTTTAATGGAAGAGAACAATGTTAAATTAATTTCTAGTAATTCAATAATAATTAATAAGGCATTATTATTCTGTTTTTCAGAAACAGTGGGAGCCCAAACTATATGAGATATCTTCAGAGGCTCATCTAACTCTCTTTCTTTACATAGTCAATGCATATTTGAAAATGATACTAAATAAACATCTGTTTTGATCTGTATAAAAATGTAAATTAGTTTGACACTGCATTTTTGATAGGTGTGCTAATTTCTGCCCATGGTAGTTTAAAACATCAGAAACTGAATTCTGGACAGATTTAAGCCTTGATACGCTGTGTAATTTTTCCTTTTCCTTTTTGGTCTTGATTCTTTTTTCCCATTGTGATGTTTGATAAAGTTACATTTAAAATGTAGTTTTAAATAAAGTTTGGACTTATCTATAAAGTATCTTTTTCGGAAATTATGTTGAATTCTATATAGCAAAGTCAGTGTTCTATATATAGTTTTAGGCTATTCAGAGAAGAGCAATGGTTAAGAGTTAGAGAACTATATTATTTATTATAAAGCCCAGCCATTAGACAAGTCTTCCAAATAATGCCAGTATTGCTGCTATGGGGTCTAAAGTTCTTTTAGAAACCTGTAGATCCTAATTACTATGAATAGAGCAGGTTATAAACATATCCAGGATACCTAGGAAGTTATAGATAGTTATACCTAGGAAGTTGTAGGTATATATTAATCCATTCAAATTGGATAATAAGTTTAGAACATATGTCCTTAGTACCTAGAACTTACATCATTATGTATTAGATAAGTATTTTCCAGAATTCCAAATCCTATATATATTGCCTCAGTCTAAAAATTTTTAAAAATCTTTATATAATTAGGGAATATTTCTGCACAGACAAGTAATATGTGATTAATTTTAAATGAAAAACTAAACTCTTTCAAGTAGGGATAAATACAACTAAGTTTATGTAACAGCACAGTAAGACTCTGTATGCCTTCAGACAAACTTGCCTTTTGAGATGGTAATTTAAGACCCAAAGCACAGCAAGTTGCTTTTGTGTATAGGGAGGGAAAAGCAGGTTCACAGATAAAGAATTGAGCAAAAAAATTTATGTGACTTCTTCATTACTATGTAAATCAACTTTTAAAAGATGATTTACCTTTTTATCCCAAATTTTCCATATACTCAGTAAGGCTTCAAAGAGCCAGTCAACAATAAATAAGTCAACCTTATAGATTCTTCCTTGAATAAAATATGAAGAATTAGTACCAAGTAGTTTTAAATTTGTTAACAATTGACTGAAATACTCCATAAAAAAAGAACTTGGTGGATATTCCTTTAAATTCTTACCTGCTTGATATCTCAGTATAAAACTATAACGTCAAATCAAGGAGTATTAAATGAGGATTTCCCTAGGTGTGTTACTACTTAATTTATGTAAGATATATGTCTCCAACTTTAATAAAACCTATTCAGAAAACTACCAATTCAGAATGAGGAATTCCTATCCAGTTGGCCTAACTTCAGGGAAGTTGGAACAGTAAGTTACATTACGTGAATACTCAAATTCTATATTTTCTAGACTTTAAGCAGAAAAGGGGAAAAACTTCATCTTGGTATACTCAAGCCAAGCCTTACATATTGCGGCTTGTGTGCACGCTCTTTCTCTCTTTCTCTGCATGCATAGTAAAGATAGATACAGTGGAAAAATTGTATTTATCTCTTAGTTATTAACATAATACCTATGAACATTATTGAAATTGCTTATTTGTGTTACAGCTGCTGTTATTTAGTCTATTATTTTTCTATTTTAGTAGATAATTTAGTTTTAAAATACCTAGGGCTTGACAGCAGATAATTTGTTTAATATTTTTTCCATAGTAACTATTGCTAAAAGGTTAGGCATTAAATATTCCTGTTTGTCTTAATTTTTAAGATAAAATTTTGATTAGAGACAGAGGGAGAAATGGTCAAATGAGTGAGAGAGAACCCTATGCAGGTTGAGAGAATGCCTAAAATAATAAGCTAGGCAGACTGTGGAGATACTCTTTGTATTTTGTAAACATTCACTTTGGGTAAATGGTTTTTCACTATTAATAAATGTATACCCTATGTACAACTCTGAATTGTATTTTCATTTAAATTGACATACTCATTTATGCTTTAGAATTTGTTGAATCATGGCTTAACAGTTTTAAATGTAAAAAAATCAGGACATGAAAAATGACATATTGATTAGCCAGAAAGATTGATTCAACTTGAGACCATTTTTCTTATAGTGAAACATATACTCTATTATTTGTTAGTTATATTTGTTTTATATACTGTTCTAAGAATGTAAATGTTGGATATGGTATAATAAAATTCGGTGTGGCCACAGGAGGAAATGAGAATTAGACTTGGAAGGAAGAAGTTTATTATACTCACAGATTCTAGAGAGGAGGTCACCAGAATCCCATAGGGTCATAGGGGAAAGCACGAAATTTTGGTTAGGTGGCAGAAAACAAGAGCAATGGGAAAAAGCCTAGTTAGAGCCTTTATTGGAGTTTCCTCAGGAAAGGCAAGGCAAGGCAAGGCAAGGCAGTTTAAGATTGGCTAGTTTGAATAATTCTGGTGGGTGTTCGGCTATAGGGATGGTCTCTAATTGCCTGGTACCTTGCCCTGGGATGATTTAGGGCAAGGGAAATACAGGCTTTGTGTTAGGAGAGTTAGATAAGGTGGTGGTTGGGGCTGTAGACCTGAGATTGATTGGTTTGTATATTAAAGAACTGCTCTTGGCCAAGCCCTTTACTGTCTCTAGAAAGGGCTAGCCCTGTGAGGGGTGGTTCCTTACTAACCAGCAAGCTTTTTAAGATGTCAAAACATCATAAAATACAGAAAATAAAAAGCATGATTAATACATGTACTGTATAGAGAATAGTCTTATATTTACTCAAAAGTACACTGACTTGTTTCTTGTCCATTTTTCTTTAAGCAGCTCATTTGTCAAAAGGATATTGACTCTGGATTTTACTTATTTCACTGTAGGTGCCCAGTTGCCTTGACTGCAAGAGCCAGCATTTCCTGTTCTTGTACAACTCTAATTGTTACTCTAACATTCCCTGATTTTACATATATGATTTCTTCTTCAATTCACTGGTGTTACTAACTGGGTCGTTTCCTGAAAATTAAGGAACAGAAGGAAACTCTGTGCCTACAAATGACTTCGATGCATGTGTACACACACACATACACACACAGACACGTTGAGTATCCCTAATCTGAAATGCTCTAAAATCCAAAACTTTTTGTGTTCCAACATTATGCTCAAAAGAAATACTTGTTGGAGCATTTTGGCATTTTGGATTTTCACATTAGGGATGCTCAACCAGTAAGTACGATGAAAATACTCAAAAATTTGAAAACATTCAAAATCCAAACACTTCTGGTTCCAAGCATTTTGGATAAGGGATAGTCAACTTGTATATATATATGTTTCTAATTATATTACTAGTTCATTTCATCTTTACAGACTTAGAAATGTAACAAAAGAAATTTTGGGCCAGCAATTTAGAGAGCTGTTGATTTGGTTATTTGAAAAATTAATCACAGCATAAAGTTTCCATACAACGGAGTTCTAGTATGTCTCTTTTACATACTAAATGCATTTCTTGCATTCAGGCTTTTCCTAAGTGTAGTTTCTTTTCCCTTATATACATGTGTAACAAGTCACATGTGATTAATTTGAAAATAAATCATATATTTGTAAATATTAAGTTATTTTGCTAGAAATCCTCACCTTTAATAAACTATACCTCCAGAGTATAGCTGCCTGCTTAAGGCTTTTCTGTTGATCAGGTAACAAAAAGGCTTTGAAAGATATAAAGGGCTATATCAATTCACAGTGGTAGTATTTAACATTTGTGTTAAACTTCACTTTTAGTGAGACTGTGAATGCATAAACTTAAGAGTTCTCCCATCTCCGTCACTATTTACAAAAATTTCACTCACCAGTGTGACCATCACCTGTTGTCTCACAGTTATATTCGGAATTTTCCTAGACTAGAAATAGGCATGGATTATTCTATCAACTGAAATAGTGTTCATAAAAATGTTTGACTATAAGTGCTGTACAAATTTAAGGTATATATCTATGTCAGAGGAAAAGGCACAGGAAAAGAAGAGCCAAAATTTTTCTCAAACTTAGACAATTCAGGTTAAATATTTCTTACCCAAAATACTTAGGGCCAGAAGTATTTCGGATTGTGGAATATTTGCATTACACCAGTTGAACATCCCAGATTTCAGAATCTGAAATGCTCCAATGAGCATTTACTTTGAGCATCATGTCAGCACTCAAAAAGTTTCACATTTTGGAGCATTTCAGATTTGGGATGCTCAACCTGTAGTGATGTTTTGCTTACTTTTCAATGTTTTAACCAACATATTTTAAATCAATTTCCAGGGCAGAATTTTAAACACCTATTGTCTACCAAAACCCACAGTTGCTTCCATGTGTTCTTTGTGAACATGTCCTGGCTAAATATTCTTTGTGGATTTTCCTTTTCTTAGCTAACGAGGCAGAAGCTAAAGAGCCTTTATTGTAGTAGATCTTAGATGTGCAGTTTTCCCACAATGTCAGTTTAATTATCTCCCCATCTTTCCATTCTCTCACCCTTACTACCCCCACATCCCTCAGAAATGTTTAAGACACAGGTATTACTACTATATACTTTTGTCTGTCTCCCACCCCCTCACTTAGAATATAAGTTCTGTAAAGACAGGAATTTTTCTCTCTTTGTCCACTGCAATATCTCTACTCTTTAGAGCAGTTCCTGGAATGTAGAAGGTGTTCAATATCTACTGAATAATGAGTAAATTTTCCAGGTATTCCAAAGAGAGGTTCAAGGTCTTTAATATGCTGAAATACTGAGAAGGATCGGACATCTTGTTTAGCTATGGCAAAGGGAATCTTCGCTTCAACAGTTTTGACAGGTGGAATACTCCTATAATAGTATATCTCAGACATAAAAGTTTCAGCTGAGAAAAATGCAAATATATACTTAGCTATTCCTTTTCAAGTCTGCTAATAGGTAAATCATATTCATTGTTATGATTTGAAATTAATATCGAATTTAAGATGCAGTAAATTCAATGGTACATGAGATAAATTGATTTTAAACTAGTCATTGGAAAACCTTTCAAAAAGACTGGTTTTTAATCAAATTTAAGAATATTTACTAA